GTTGTGATGGTGTCCCGGTCCTGTTTTGATGGTGTCCCGGTCATGTTGTGATGGTGTCCCGGTCATGTTTTGATGGTGTCCCGGTCGTGTTGTGACGGTGGCGCGGTCATGATGTGATGGTGTCCCGGTTATGTGATGATGGTGTCCAAGGAAGAGATGGTCGATGTGTTGAAAACAGCAGCTGTTTCCAGATTTTTCTTTTTGTCCCGGTTTGTATCTTGCTATTGGGGTCTCCAGCTGGGCTAATTTGTTCAATGGCAAAGTTGAGCCATGTTTTGGCCGCTCCAGCGCAGTTTGTCGCGTGCCGTAGTCAATGGTGCTGAGGTGTGAGCTGCGGACTTGTTCATCGGCTTGACTGCCGTTGCCTGAGCCAACTGAGAGCCAGACAATGAAAGCCAACGTGTTGAAGTGTTTGGGGCTTAAATTTGTGCGGCTGTGGGCCTTTCATGTTTTGGCGTTCGGGACACATCGCTAGTATATTGGAGGCCATTGCTCATGGCACTCTCTGGCTACAATCAACAGCCTTCGAAGTATTTAAGGTGTAGGTTCGTCCGCATCCCCTGCCCAGTGCGAATACGGCTTGTGGAGCATGTTGGGCATGTTTGCCTGTGGCCACTGCGGTTGCATCAGGCCTTGCATATCCTTGCATAATGTTGCCTACATTTGAGCGAGCTGTGTCGCCCAAAAGAAGCTCTCCATGACCAGGTGAACCAAGAAAAACTTGAGCGCAACAAAGCTAATCAAAGCACTCCAAGCTAAACACAGCAGACTAGAAGGTTGTACGGGAATAATCGTGGAGCTCGCCAAGCAGTTGGCCTATGAAAGATGTTTCCCCCTAGCAACCAGTAGTTTGGGTTGCTTGGCAATTGCCATCATTTTTTATTGCCTGAAACTGAAACTCTTCCCTTGTAGGTAGCGCCCCTGCAAACAACAAACTTCATGGCACGCTCCCCTATCATGGGCGGATTCATGTTTGTAGTGAGTGTTGCTGGCGAACTTTTCAGCGGAAGATTTCAATCCATGCGCTGTTCAGTCAACACTTCTGGAGTTTTGCTTTGGGCACCATGCGTGGTTCTCAGAGTCTCTTTTTGAACGTTTTCCGCTGCTTAGAGTGTAAGGTGTGCTGCAACCAATCATGTGAAGCATGTTGGCACGCCTGCTCATGCCATCCATGCTTGCTCAGGCTACCGGGGGTTGTATGAAGCACGTCTTCAGCAAGAGCCCTAAGTGTTTTTCGGTTGGAAGCCATCGCTTCTAGGTGGAGGCCACCGCTATCAAGTTGCAAGATACATTTGTTGCTTTTCTGGGCCTCCCGCCTGAGGTTTGCAGCCAGAAAGGTGGGGCGATTCCGTTTTTATAGCATTAGACAGCTTGAAATAAAGGGTTTGGGTCAGCTCGCATATGGTCACGCAACGGACGGGAACGCAATTCAAGCATGGAAGGCTATTAGAACTATAGTCGACTATAATCATTTCTCCTTCTACAAGTAATGTTTGGGAAACTGTTCTTTGCCTGTGGAACCCATTGGTGGAGCCTTGTGAACCAATTTACGAAGCTTTTTGAGGTCACGGACAGAACCTGTATGATCGGGATCATCCCACCAACTAACAACCTTGGATGCAGAAAAGAAAAGATAAAAATGTTCTATAATAGCAATTGTTTTAGGCTGAGGAAACACTTGCCAATGAAATCGTCAATGTAAAAAGATATGGAACCAATACTATAAAGAACGCCGATAAAAGTAATAGTGAGTGACAGTGGGTTTTTGCAAGGAGGAAGGGATAAGTAGAATTCACATAATTAGATACAATAACCTGATGGAAAACAATCATAAAACATATATATTGCATAAAGATACCAACAGCAGGAATTACTTTGAATAACACCTTTTCTCCATGTTTGTTGAATCCAGGCACGCTGTCATATATGCGAGCATTCGCGGTAATAAGAATGACTACGTCTCGCCCCTTTGCATGCTGTAGGACTAGGTTGGTGAGGTTTTCCCACTCTGTGGACTTCGCGCGACTGGAAGTTCAAGTACGATTTTTGTACAAGGAGGTCTTGAAAGCTATCTTAGTAGAATGTTCTCTTCGCTGCCACAAAGGTGAAGTCAGGCGATCCAAAATCCGACCTATAAGCTTCCCACCTGTTCCGCCTCATGGAGGTGGTTTGCAGGTGAAGTGATAGGGAGGAAAGGGAGGAAAGGGAGGAAAGGAAAGAGGTAACGGAACAACAGTAAAAGGATAGAAGAACTGAGGAACCGCAATGAAAACACATGACAGGAAATGAAAGACATGGACCACAAATGAGGACGAAACGGAAAAGGACCAAAAAAGAAAGGAACAGAAAGCCAAGACGAAAGGGAAAAGCAAATGAAAGGGGGAGGGGGAGGGGGACTACTAGTTACTAGTAGAGAGGAGCTACTACTAGTAATGTCCTCATTACTGCAGGTTTGCAAAGAGTACATGTGCTTGGTGGAAGGCGCGGCAATTTGATGCAGTCGTGCATAATCCAGCTGACCCCTGTCACGACGCAACCGCGCAGGTGCTTGGGATTCAGGTCCACCATTTTTCATCCAGGCTTGTTCAGATCAGTGTGGCAAAATGTGCAATCACAGAGCACATTGGCAAAGAAGAGGGGTTGGTGGCGCTCGCCAAGAAAAGTTCCCTTTCATTCGTCCTCATCCTTCTTCATCCCCATCCTTGTCCATCGTGCTTCATCCTTGCTTTCACCTATCCTCATCCTTGTCTGCCTTAAGCGTTTTCGTGTCCAAGAAACTAAATTTGATACTACGACATGCTTCCTATGCGCTGCTGGCATGCTTGGATCATCGATCTAGAGTTCTTTCTCGTTTGGCACGACGAGGGTTGGGTGCAGGCCAAGCTGTGCTCTGAAGTGGGGGTGACGGAACATTGGAACGTGTCTTGAAGCACTCTCCCTTCAGGTTGGAGGCCACCGCTAGTAGGTTGGAGGCCATCGCTATTACTTGCATACTATTAATATTACTACATTGCATGTGTGCCTTGAAATGCTATGTCTGCTGCACCCATGCTACTTTGGCCACAGACCTAACCGATTCCGGCACACCGTGCCCATCCTGCATCATTCTTGCACATCCTCATTTCCACCACCCAGCTGTTTAATTTCAACATTGGATGCAAGTAGAGCCAGTTCCGAGAACAAAAAGCGGATAGTTCTTTCATCTCCAGCAGGAGCCCATAGCGACCAGAAGTATGTCATCCCCCTATCGCAGAAACTGAGAAACGCCGCTTGAGAGCGGCTGTGAGGCTGCAAACGGTTGGCTTGGCCAAAACTTAGACCGCATGCATGACGAGTTGAAAAGCTGAGGTTTGGCTCGTCCAGAAGTTTCACATCCCCTACCGGGCGCTTCGCTTTGACCGAGGTGGCTCCGCTGCAAGCGAGAAAAAAGAAACAGAGAGAATCACAAAGAAGTGATGGCCTCCAACCGAACAAGGACGCTACTAGGAGCAAGGACGCTACTAATGGCGTGTTCAAGAAGTTCCTGAAATAATTGTCAGCTTTCCCCAAAGTGTGGGACTAGCCCAGCGACCTTTGCGCTATGGCCTGGGTGATTCTCGCGGCTCCTTCGCTGGTACCAACTTTGACATATCGCATCATGTTGCATCACAGTTCCTGACTAGCATCAGTGTGTTCAGCGAAATGGTTTCTCTCAAGTTCTGAATCTTGAGAACGTGACAGATCTTGAGGTGGTTGACTTTGTCACGCTACTGGATCCACAGGAAAAGCTCTTGAGCTTAATGAAGGTGTTGCGATCAATTTCATTGACGGTGGTGGAAAGAAACCAGGCTTTGACCTGAGACAGGAACTACTAGCAATGGCCTGCAACCTAGAAGCAATGGCCTCCAACCTGATAATAGCGATGGCCTCCAACCTAATAGCTCCAGAATTCAAAACTAAGTGGCTCGGCGGCTGGGCAATGTACTGAAGCTGATCGCCTGCTTATGGCAGTTCAGAGTTGGGTCACAGATTGAGACAAATGCTCTGAACTCAGCCAGGTGCGCCTGCACACAGGAGTTCAGTTGAGTTCATGAGTGGGCCCAAACTGAAGGCCAACGGCTGCAGCTGTTGAGTTTCCATCAGGACGCACACACCAGATTCGATGCCACATGAGCCACAAGGCAGGAAGAAGCATTGTTCCTGCTTGCACGCAAATTAGGTGCAGCACTGACAATCGATACCTTTGGTACCTTTGGAGCAAGGAGTGGCTAAGGTAGACGTATTAGAATGCATGTGAGTGTCAACTTCTTTCAAAGGCCTATTCTAGCATGATTGTCATTACACGGGTTTCTACTCCTGGTTCGGCCGTTTTGCCAAGGGCTTTTGGTTTGGCTACACGCATCCTTCTTCTTGTGAACAGGGTTCGTGTTGCTTCTTTTCTTGAAGTCTGAAATCCCTTCCCTGCATCTAAGTAACCCTGTCTCGCTCCAATTGTGTGCTGTTTGCCGAACAGAACCCCACAGACGTCACAGACCTGAGAGCGAAGTTGAAGGTAGCGTCCTCTTGCTCCTAGTAGTCAGGCCAGGAGCCGCTAGTAGCGTCCTTGCTCCGTTTGTAGCGATGCCCTTTGCTCCTAGCAGCATCCTTGCTTCTCGTTCCTAATGGAATTCAATGCGCGTCAAACTGCGTGTTGCTCAAGTGGTGCAATAGTCCGGAATAGTAGTAAGACAGCAGTTCTTGTGCGTTCATGTTCGCATTGGTCACGCAGCTTTTCGCCTGTGTATGCAGTGCAGGGGCATCCGCTTGTTGGAGACAATGTCTATGGCGGTATGACACCTTCGTGGTGTGGAAGGCGTGCATTCTTTGACCTGCCACAGGAACTACATACTAGCAATGGCCTCCAACCTAGAAGCAATGGTGTCCAACGTAGTGTGATGGAAACTAACCGACTAGCAATGGCCTCCAACCTAGTAGCGAGGAATGCGGCTAATGCATATGTGACAAATGCCACACAATCCTCCAGGCAGTGGCTGCATGCCCCTGACTTAGCAAAAGTACACAACACGATGCCTGATTCCTTTGGAAACCTCAAGTCGGAAAAAACAGAACAACAAGAAGTTGTGACAACGTGACAGCCGCGTCAATACAGCCTGTGTGTGGAATGTGCTTTGTAATGATTTGTTGAAAGCGGGCGGAATCATGATTCTAAGAAGCTTCAACCTTGCTCGTGCTTTAGAAGCCTCAATAAATTACATTTGCTTCGTGAGTTGCTACGAGAGCAACTGCGCAACTCAAAAAGCGAGAACCGTTCCATTGACCATTTGTGCATTTGGCGTCCTGACCCACACGGCGCTTCCGCAGACTGACCAAGATAATGTTGATCCTCGCTTGTGTGCCTTGTGCAGATGTAGAACAACAATGCACCACAGCGTGCTTGACATATTGCATTGTGGGGTGTTGATGCAGGTTTCATACAAACATGGCTGCCGATGTGAGAGCTAGCAGCTAGCAGAACTTCTTCGGCTGTCTTAGAACAATGTGTGTGTAATCCCCGCTTATGGTAAACCGTGGCTGTGGCCACTGTTATCAGTCTGCAAAGCATGCTTAGCTCTCGTGCAAAGCTTGAATCTTCATCAACAATCACGAAGATGAATGGGTACAAGAAATTGAACCGACAGGTTCAGTGCAACATGCTGCGCCACCCTGCAGCTTACCTGTGTATTTCCTCCAGGAACATAGTGCATCAGTTAAGTGCCCCTTAAAATCTCGGAAACAACTGAATACGAGCGCTTCTTCAAAGAAGCGTGAGTTATCCTGCGTCCAGCAGCTAGGAGCGGAGCGTCCCGTTCGTTTTCTGTTAATTAAATGCCCTCTTGATTGAATAGTACGGGGGCAGAGCGGAAGAACAAAAAGAACAAAACAAAACAACAACAAAAAAGGGCTACAGGCTTGGTTTTTCACTATCCGAGAGCCTCCGCATGCAAATTTCTGCACCATTTAGCTGTGTTCAAGTGCTCCTGTTGAAATGAAGGGGATGAAATGAAGACAACTTATCGAAGGTTTATTTGCCTGTTGGTTTGCTTCCAGATTCCCCAGCCCTTTGGGACCTAACGGCGTAAGGCTTCGGCACTGAGCTTGCAGATGCAATCCGGAACCCTGGAGCTTCAGGCGAATGCGTCGACAAAAACATGAAAGCTGATTGTCGGCTTGCGTCGCGCAATTTTTGTGACAACAATTTGACGACGCTTTTGTCACGCTGTCCTGAACTGAAGAACGGTTGTTAGAACGCTTCTTCTTTGTCTTGGGGAGGTTTGTGCCAATCCAAGACTAGAGAACTCAATATTCAATATTCAACAAGGATGAGATCTGTCATGAGCACCTCGTTGCAGCAAAGATTAGCCAAATTCATTTGGTTAGGAGCGGCATAGGACCAGGAAGATGTTTGGCTAGGGCTGTGCCTGATCTCATATGCCGTCGGTGATGAAGGACTGTGATGGTTCTCCATTGAACCGGTTGTCAGGGTTGTTTTTGGTTGTTAGCGAGGCAGTTGAAAATCCAATTCAATTGTGCAGCGATATACTGCAGGTCCCTGTCGCAGAAGATCTTCGCAAGGCTTTGAGAAGGCACGGTCACGGTCACACTGGCAACCTCTGCGTTGAATATGTTCATGGTCTCAACTAGCCCTTTGCTAGCATGTGTTGATTATATAATGCGTCCAAAAACTGCAGAGCAGCACTGCGTCCTGTTCATTCTTGAGCCAAAGTTTGCCAGATTGCTTTTTGATCCTGATGTTGGCTATGGTTGAGCATGGTGACTTTCCTTTTGTTTGTATGTTTTGTTGAACGCGCTCCCGTTTCCTGTTCAAGGCGCAGTCGCACTGCTGAATCTATGCCCCCTCGCACCCCTTCATGTGATTTTGTTCCCAAGTAGGTAACAAAGGGCATCGCTACCAGGAGCAAGAAGCTACTAATAATAGGAACAACGACGCTACTAGGGGCTCCTGGCCGCTACTAGGAGCAAGGAAGCAAAAATCAGGGGTGAAGCGCACCAGGCGCCCCCGTGATGCAAGCCACTTCCCTTGGTTCTGCCATTGCTGGCCCTCCAAGCAATCGTCTCCAGTTGGGACCAAATCTCCTGCCCCCTCAAGGCAAACCGAGATGCTGAGGTGGCTTCTAGTATCTTCTAGTGGCTAGCCGCCTAGCCCCCTCAGCCCCCCCTTAACTAGCCATCTAGCCATTTGGCTCAAGAAGTTGGAATTCCTCAACCCCCGCATGGACCCGTCCACGCCTCTTCGAACCTTCGTCCTTGTTCAGTCGTCCAATCTTGAAGTGGCCGCAACCGAGCCCACACCTCCGGTGAAGGAACCTTTGGCTCTAGCAAGGACGCTACTAACAAAGGGCGTCGCTACTAGGAGCAAGAAGCTACTAGGAGCACCTGGCCGTACTAGGAGCAAGGATGCTAGTTTGCTTTTGGTCTTTGGTCTTCTCCAGCTCGCTGGGACCTCTCTATATGGCTATGTACTTCCGCCGGGTGCCCTTCAATACCCCCAAGCTTCAATATATCTATCCCAAAAGTGTTAAAAATGAAACGCCGCCCAGGCAGCACCACTGGCATTCTTTACTATTAGGTTGGAGCCATCGCTCATAGGTTGGATTAATCATTAAAGAAAACATTGTATACCGCTGCCCATCCGTCGGATTGGCGGTTTAGGGTAGCCGATCTTTGTGATTTAACGAACTAAACCCAAACCGATGTGACAGAAAACCTAGGCTGCGCGAGCTTCTCGCAACATGCTAGGTGCACGTGGGGCAACCTGTTGGAGGGCCGAGAACATCCAAGAAGCAACCTCACCGATACAATCCATGGACAAAACCGTAATGGTTTTCGACTGGCATCCCTCAAAAACACGGTCAATTCCCAAGAGTCCATAGTTTGGGAAGCGTACTTGGGCGAGTCAGCTTGAAAAAAGGGCCCGCAGGAGCGTCAGCTGCGGGCGCGGTTGAAGCTTGACGAAAGACCCGCGCCAACAACCGATGGCAGAACGGCTGCAGCGCACTGCAACCTTCGGTGTTTGGTGACACCTCCGTCACTGAAGGGACGCTGTAGTGTAAGGAGGCCACCACAAAACCGCCAGGACGCCGCAATGGCATTCTTTCGTAGCACTCCCTGAAAGAACCTAATGCAAGAATCATGAAGTCAGTCCAGTCACGACATGAGTCCATGCCTTTGCTCGCTGCGTTCCGACCCAAACCTTAACCTGGGCACAGGGCCCTTGAGCTGTTTGGCGAAACAAGTGCCAGCGGACGCTTTTGGCGGTGTCGCATCCGCCATTTGTTGAAACTGGCAGCGGAGCTGTCATAGCTCCCGCTACCACCACGGTTTGCCAAGCCGTGCTTTCAGCCCTCACGAGCGGGATCGCCATGGCTTTGGATACGCTGAGGTACGGGGTCTTCAAACCTCAGTGGGTCGGTGCAGACCCGAAAGCCAAGGAGCTGTTGCCCGAGCTGGAGAAACAGCTGCTGCCTATGAGGAAGCAGGCCACGATGGAGCTCTACCAGGCTGGAACCAAGATGGAGTTGGCATCCTGTCAAGACAACATGGAGGGCCGATGAGCAGCTACTGCTTGCGTCGGCAAGCTTGGTGGACCCAATTGCGGGAGATGGACTTGGTGAACAGCTGCTTCAACACAGTGGGTTGGGCCGCATGGAGATGCAGATGATCAGGACGGTCTGCAACAATGACTTGTCAGACATGGCGAGGCTCAACAACGCCCTACGGGAGCAGTTTGGCCAGGTTCATGAGAAGGAGTCCAAAGGCAGCGGTAAAGGAAAATAAGGTTATGGCCGATTTGATGGACGGGACATGGTCGCTATGAGAGCCCATCAAAGAGCTGGAACCACCGCTTGAGCTACATGGTTGAGGAGCCCTATGTTGAGGAAATCTCAAACTACCAGAGCGGCGGAGGTGGCGAGACGGCGGCCTACCAGACTGCCTACCAGGCCTACCAGGAAGAGGACAAAGCCTACTTCGCTGAGGATGACAACGGCGCATGGATGATCGAGAACGTGAGATTGAAGAGGAAGTGGTTGCATGGTTCTCTGAACAGGCCATCGATGCTCAGGTCTGTAGCGCTGAGGACCTGGACATGATGATTGACGCCGTTGAAACCGAGTTGGCTCTAGTACAGCAGGACCCAATCCGAGCAGAGAGGAGTGAACACTCCAGTGAATGATTCAAACTACGTACTAAGGTCCTTGATGCCGTGCTTGTGGCCAGACGGGCCACAGGGCGAGAGATCCTATCTGTCCTTCGAGGAGATCAAAGGCAAGGGCAAGAAAGGCGGCTCCAGGGGAAAAGGGAAGTTCACATCATTCGGAAATGGAAAAGGGTCATCTTCATCCTCGAAGGGATCAAAGAAGGGCGATAAGCCTAGGGTGGTCTATTTCTCTGTGGGTCTCGAGAACACGAACCAGGACGCCTTCTCCTACATGGTGGTACGTGGGAATGGGGCCGATCCAGGAGACGATGAGCCGGAGCCCTTGGACGCTCAACAGCAGAGAGCCTCAGAGATGGAGGCGCAACGCCTTCTGATCTGATGTTGTCGCCGGATGAGATCGACAGGCGGCTGAGGACTGAGTTGGGCTACATGCCACCAACCTCAAAGGTTATGGGACCATCTCGTGAGCTACCACAAGGAACCGGGTTTGAAACCCCACCACGGGGAGCTTTTGCCAAAAGCTTTCAGCCACCGCCGGTGCCGCCACTACCGGTGAAGACACAAGGACCCGTGGGTGGAACCACGGCCAACAAGATGGGACAGGAGAGTTCAGGTTCAGGTCATCAGGAAGGGACTTGTGCTGTCCTATGCGGCCACGAACAACCTGGAGCTGAAGTCAGGAGATATCAGCGTAGCCTTTCTTCAGGGAGCTCCAATTCAGAGGACTTTGATTTTGATGGCACCAAAGGATGGCATTCCTACTGAGGAAGGAAACAACATCGCTCCAATGACCTACCTCATAGCACTATTGTCGGTCTATGGCACTAAGGACGCTCCTCGAGGTTTCTGGCTGGAACTTCGCCGAGAACTACTTGAGCAAGGACTCACGGAGATCGATCCTGCAGTTTGCCTAAGCGATGAAGGACGGACCTGCGGCATGGTACGCAGTCATGTGGACGACCTCATTTGGGCAGGCAATGAGAAGATGGATGAGCTGATGAACTGGGTTCAACAACGGTTCACTTTTGGTTCGGCGGATGCCGGACGTTTCCCTTTCTGCGGACGCAAGATTGAGAGCACCGACGACTACATCTGAATGTCAAGTCCTGAGACTTTGCGGAAGACCAAGCCGGTGCATGTGGACCGTGAACCGATGAGGCAACCCACGGATCAAGCAGGCAGCCAGGAACAGTCTCAGATGAGAGCTGTACTGGGATCAATCGGATGGGTCGCTAGACTGAGTTGAGCTATATGTCTTCTGCACTACAAGGGAAGCAGAGCACAACTGTCATGGACTTGAAGGCCACCAACAAGTTGCTGAGCGTGGCTCAGAAAACAAGCAACAATGGCATCAGGTTCGTGATGGGCTGTTCTCCTGTCCGTAACGGATGCGTCGCGCGCAGCAGAGCTGATCGTGGATGAGAATGGAAAGAAGCAGGGTCACAAGTCACAAGGAGGAAGATTCCTCCTACTGGCGGACCATATGCCACAGCTGGAGCACAAGACATGGTGTCACGTGTTCGACTGGGGGTCGCAGACATTGAAGAGAGTCTGCAGGTCGACACTTCAAGCTCGAGGTACTCGGCTTGGAAGGTGGCAGCGGCTGACCATAAGCTCATTTGCTGGGCGTCGGATTGTCGTGGCTTTGTTGATGACATGAACCCTACCAGTCCAAGCATTGTCAGCGACAAACGCCTGGCAATCGATATGTCGGCATTGAAGCAGGGGTTGTGGCGCCAAGCTGGCGAGGAAGTGGGCGACGTGCATTCAAGCCCTCACATACCGGTGGGAGCCACCGACCAGCTTTGGTGGATTGGAACCAACCAAGGACATGATCTCCGATGAGCTCACAAAAGCAATGCGCTGGGATTCGGTGCGAGAGCTGTGCGAGTTCAGCGTTTCGGTGAAACCGATTCGAGCTGGCTTTGTTGCGAGCAATGGCCTCAGTCGAGAAGACTTTGAGGGGTGTGAGAATCATGAAGTCACTCCAGTCACGACATGAGTCCATGCTTTGCCCGCTGCATTCCGACCCAAACCTTAACCTGGGCACAGGGCCTGGAGCTGTCTGGCGAAACAAGTGCCAGCACACGCTTTTGGCGGTGTCGCATCCGCCAACCAGCAATGGCCTCCAACCCAATAATAGGAATGGCCTCCTTCAGCTTAGCGAGGTGGCGCGCACAAGCCACTTCTGCAAGCTGCACGTTGGGCACGAAGTTGAAGGCTTGGTTCAACAAGGTCCCTAGGTTTGAGCTGTCCAGAAGAGCCTCCACAGCCAGCCAAGCGGAATTATGTTCCGCCGTCGATGAGGCCATGGCATCCAAATTGGGGCGACAAAGAGCACCAACACCTTGAAGACCTTTCACAACCTAAGAGCTTAAGTCAGGAACCTGCGGCGCACTGCGCTCGAGCAATGTCGAAGAGAGCACCTGAACCCACCGCCAGCCGCAAGGGCTGTGCAGGTGCAACTGCAGTGTGCGTTGAAGCGTGCTCAACCAAGTTGGACGCCAGAAATTGCGTGCCCCTTCCAGACACGAGAGGTCCGGGGAAGACTCCAATCATGGCCTACACTTCCACAGCACACCAGCTTGTTGAGGAACCACCGTTGACAGCCTGAATATGGAACTTGTGGCGGAACGCTTTCCATCCTGTAGGCCGTGCGATGCCAAGATGTTTGAGAATCCCAGAGCTGGTGCCAAGGTCTTCAAAATCTCTGTAGGCCTTCAAACCTGTGCAAGCTGTTTTTCAGCCCGCTGCGTTTTCCACAGAAAAGCCTCCTAAACACATTCCGGTGTATCGGCGACCTGTCCGCCCGTGTGGTCATTGCTGGTGTGAGAATCCTTACTTTGTGTGACAAGGTGCCACTGTCAGTTTGACATAATAGGAACAAGGACGCTACTATGATCGTGGCGGTGCTGCTCAACCAGGTCACGTCTTGGAGACGTCACCACCTCTTGGAAACGGTATAACTAGACAGAGCTTCCGCGTGTTTCCTCGGTGGATTTTATGGAAGCCATCGCTATTACCAGGAAAATCCAGGAAATATCTGATATAGTTTGTGTTTGGTATGTTTCCTGGTGAGGTCTTGGACTGCATCGCATAAGAATGTGTCGGATGTTTCCAACATTATGTCACCGTCGCCCAGCCGTGCATCATGGAGATCTTTGTTTTTTTCTCAGGTTGAGGCCGACGGATGTCATCAATGCCTTGAGGCCTCAGGGTCTTCAGCTGCGTCTTGATTGTTCTGACCGGCAGTTGCGCCACCCGAGGTTGAGAGAGTGGATGCCACCGTGAAGCAATTGTCTCACAATGCCGGCCAATGCCATGCCAGTAGACAGCGTGATCCTCAATCTTCAACTCGAAAAAGCAAAGACTTTGCGAAGAAAGCAGAAGTAGATAAGTGTTCACAATCAGCCAATCAATTACTCACATGCATTTTCACTTGCTCACTCACTCACTCCGTCCACCCCACACTCCACCTCATCTCACCTACCTGATTCCACGCACCCTCCCACGCCCGCGCGGCCGTACTTCATCCAAGTTCCCTCACTTTACGCAATCCACTGGACTGACGCCGCTTACTTCTTTCTTCCCTCCCTCGTGTGTTTTATACCCACTTTGCTTTTTAAAACAAGTTTTCCCGAGAGCGCCTGTGCGAAGGGTTCTTCCAAAAAAAAGAGGAGGTTTCTTTTCTATCTTAAGCCGAGTCGGGAGCCACGAGAAGTGTTCCGGATGCGCCCCTCTCGTACGAAACGTGCATCAAGGGTCAAAAACTCGATTCTATGTTTTGCAATTTTGTTGCCCCAAGATGCGCCACTCTCGCACGAAACGCGTGTCGAGTATCAAAAACTCATGGTTTTTTTGTGATTTTGAGTGTCCCGGTGCAACCATCTGCGGCGAAACGCGCGTCAAGTGTCAAAAGCTCGATGATTTTTTGCGATGTTCAATGTCTGCTGAGGCTTGGTGAAAAAGATTTGATTCTAAAGCTTCGTCAAGAAGATTTGCCTTCTAAAGCTGCGTCAAGAAGATGTGCTTTCTAAAGCTCCGTCAAGAACATCTGCCTTCTAAAGCCGACAATTCTGAGAGGCAGCCGCTTTGATTTCCCTAGAGACAAGATGCAAAGCAACAGAGAACCTTTGAATCCAGATTAAGCACCGGGGTAAATAGTTTGATGGTTGGATTTGTGCACGCAAGCGCGTTTTCTGTTGTGCCTTTTTCCAGCGTTAAATGACTAGAGGGAAAATAGATGGAAAATCGAAAATCTGATGAAAATTGGTGGAATACAGTTTTTTGTTTGGTGTTCCACCTGCCAATGGAAGTCAGCAGGGAAAGACAATGTGAAGCAAGGATTGAGTCAGAAGGTGAACTACATTAGTTATGTTGAAACCCAACAACAGGTGGGGAAAGAAACTTTAAAGGTTTTGGAAAGGAAATCCGAAGGGCTTGGAAATGAGATGCAAAGGGTGTAGTAGCTGCTGAAAAGCTCTTGAAGGATGGTTGTCATCGTCAGGTAGAACAAGTGTTGTTGCATCATGTTGCACCTGGCGCTCACTTGTTTTCATTGTACTTGTTTTGCAGCCAGGGTTTTCAATGTTACACATTGGAAAACTTTGCATGCTGGAGCATGTGCTTGTTGAAAGGGGTTGTGCGCTTGACAAGCTTTCTGGTTTTCTGATCACACCTGCGACTGCAGCTTTAACCTCGCAAATCCTAGCAAACAAGAAACCAATTATTGATCCAAAAGAAACCGAGGTGTCATGTTCAGACCCTGAGAATTTGTGTATTTATTTATGGCAATGTCTGATTTTCAACCAACGCCACACTGACGCCAAATTCAGCCCCCTCAACTTCCCGTTTCGGATGCCAATGGCCGCGAAAATGTAGATTTGTGCTCCGCATGAAACCCCAAATCAGAAGAGTACTACATGCGGTTGCTTTGGCAGCTATTTGGCGGTGGGCAGGAACACTGGTGTTTGCAACACCACAGACTAGATGTTCTACACGGGGTCTCATGTCCCGCAGAAGTGTTCCAAATGTGTTTCCTGCTTTCTTTGATGCAGCTCAAGATCCAGCTGTGCAAGCTGCATGGGCTACCGTGGCATCGAAATTGACATCTGCAGCCCAGCTGTTGAAAAGTTGTCAACAAGTGCAGAAATTTGCCAGCAAATGTTTTGAAGGTGAAGATGCAGAAGATGCGAAGAAACATGCATCAGAGTTAGCAGGAGAGATTGAAAAAGCCGTGACTGCAGGACAGAATGTTCTGATCCCGTTTGCGCAAGAGGAAGACTGGCCTCTTCTGCCAATCAGAGGTACACCCTTCGAGAAACTCATGGTTGCAACGCTTCAGAATACCAGCATGATTGGAGTCTACGCAGTGCATGCGGAGCCAGGTGCCGGAAAGTCAACTGCCGCAGCACTGGCAGCGCTTGAACTGTTAGGGAGAGAGACGAAGGAAATAATCGTGCTTTTGCAGAACGACTTTGAACGGCAACTAAAGAGCTTCTTGCCAATGTGGAGTTCACTACAGAAATTATTCGCCCCCTCTTCACCATTCTGAAAGGGAAGGGGATCAGACTGAGGGTAATGTTGACAATGTTCTGGATGGTGGTATTCTCAATCAGGGAGATAGAGTGAGAGTGCTTGCCCGGGCTGCATGTGACAACCTTCACCAGATCATTTTCATCGTGCAGAGTGAAACTGCAGCGGAAGAGATTTCCCGTCTCAATGGTGATAATACGAAGATATCACCACAGCAGATGCCAGGAACATTCTACCGATGGTCTGAAGACCAGACGCGGGCGCTTCTGAATTGCTTGGATATGCAAAAACTATTGAAGAAGCGAAGGAAACCAGCTGATGGAGGAGCTGAAGAAGTAGACGTCTTAGACGGTCTCATGGCTGAAGTTCTAGAGGAGTTGAAGATCCCTGATGCATATGGCTGTTGGAGACCCAGAAGTACCAAACGACACATCATGACTGGAGATAGACCAACTGCACCTCTCCCTATCAGAGGCTGGGCGCACCAAGATAGTCTTGTGACACGACAGGGATGTTGCATCAAGAATGCAGAATTGATCGGTGTTTCTTTCTCAATTCTGTATTCAAAAGAGGTGCTGGATGGAATCCTTGAACATCAATCTTCAAAGTAGGCTAGCCAGTCTGAATGATTTGATGCCGGGCTAGGCACTACTGCCACACTCACCAAAGCTGTTTGGGTGAGGCAGCTCCAGAAGGACTGACGACAGTTCCACATGAAACACATGATTGGTATAGCAAAAACTGCAGACAAGAATCCACCCCCAAAACAATCAGAACTTGCCGTTTCCTTTCCTTTGTATGTTTTCTGCCATGCCCTTGTTCCTTTGCTGTGCCCTTTTGTCAGGTGTAGGAAGAACTATTTTTGACCAAAAACCATGCCCCAAAATAAAGCGTGATGAAGGGCAAGTCCACTGTGCAAGATAATACACTGTTATGCTACGAACTTGGCAGGGTTCAGGACTTTTAGGGAGAATATTGCAGGGTCGTTCATTCCTCAGGATTTATGAAATATGTATTGAAATAATCTTCCTCAATTTGATAAAGAGGATTTAGACTAAGTACTTTGTATGATTTTCTGCCATGCCCTTTGGCATGTTTGTTCCTTTGCTATGCCCTTTGGTAAGTACATGCGAGTAGCACACGGTTGGAAAGGGTTGAGTTTGAATGTCTCGACTGACCTTGCAGGACGACAATGGCGGCTTCAAGTTCGTCAGCAATGCTTTCCAGATTGACCCTGCACCTTCAAACATTGTGCACTTGACATATTTTCATCCCAGCCATATCATTGCCATTCCGCTTTTTGTCTTGGCCACATTTAACACCCTCCCCCAAAGACCAGCTGCTGACAAACCGAACTGTTGATCAGCTGAATTGACAGTTGTCCCTCTTCGGAAGTGAACGAAGGCAAGTGGCGAATCCAACAGCAATGGCATGAGCACAGCGCAGCTTCAAACACGAGTTTCTTGGCAAGATGAAAAGCAATCCACCCACGCGTTGATTGCTCAAGATTTCTATTGATTTCTACTTTTCCACTGATACGAATCCAGTGCGCGCCATCTGAAAAGTCTCTTCGTGTTTCGAGCTGCTGCCTGTTGGAAACCTCATCTACACGAGAAAGAATCGTTCTTCCAAACCACGAAGACCTCAAAGTCAAATGCAAACATCTTTGGTGGCTGTTGATCCACACTGCCTTTTTGCACATGCCTAGCAGCCTGGAAGCCATCGAAGAAAACACCAACTCGGCATGAAAACAGGTTCAATATTCTTTTGTGTGAAATTCTTTTGTGTGAAGATTGGTTTCGAGAATCTTGGCATAGAGAGGGCTGTAATGCAGATATAGTTGAAAGACATGTAGTTCAATGAATGGTGGGGTGAAGAGGAGAGCTTGTCAGTTCAACAGTTTCGGCAGGCTTTCGCCCACGTTTTCCTTTTGGCTTTGCGAAGTTCTGACCTTGTTGTATGTTGTGGTGAGCTGTGTGGGCGAAGCTAGCTGCTTGAAGTTCTTGCATAGCTAGGCTTGGTGTGCTTCAATGCTTCTTGTGGCTTGTTGCTTTGCATTCTATGGTGGTTGCCGCTGCTGTTTTGGTCTGGTTTCGTGCTTTACATATCTTGCGGGTCAAGTGAACGTCTTGTGTAATCTTATGTGCTTCGAGCACCTCGATCAAACACCAGTCCTTAACACCTACCGCAAGAACCCCTAGTGTTACCGCACCGTTTGGGGGAAAAAGGGCAGAACAAATACGCATACCATCGCATACCCAAACCCAATGTAAAAACCGTGTAAATCTGCCTTTTCGCCTTTTCGCCCACAAAGCCGAGGCCACAAATGCCCAAGCGGCACCTTGGCCTGCGGCCCTATCAATGGTCAAAATCAAATCAAAGCTGCAACCACTCCTTCGACTGCAAGCTGGCAATCAGGCCAATCGGGCACCCCTTTTGGTTCAGCGGTCTGAACCCGCTGCCGGATGGTCCACTTTGCCTGTGTCTACCTGTAGTTCTGTGCTCTCACTAGAAGCTCGGTGTGTAAACGCGGAGGTTCTCCTGGAGCATGCGGCCGTGAACCAAAACAGACCTTTCTACGAGCCAAAATGTTACTTCCTGCATGTGGTGTGTATGGTGTGTGTTCAGGCTCTTTTAATTTCCAACCGGCCCAGAATTGTTGTGGAGGTATGCGGATGTGAGATTTTGAACAAACCAAAACGTGCAACCGATAGGCGGTGAAAGTGACAAAACGAACAAATCCAAAGGTGCAGAGTCTATGTGACTTTGAGGGAACAGAACACCAATGGACGCAAATGTGTGGTAAATGCAATCTGTTTTACATGTAAAACTAACGTTAACGGCATTGATCGCATTGTATACCTTGCCGGAAACCACAGGCAAACAAACAACAGTAGTGAATTTGTAAAGCCTGAACATCAGCCGGCCTCATTCTCCAGAAGGTATGTTTCAGGCGGCACGTTTGTGGACAGCACCTTGAATCCATCCTGATGAAAGCTTGACTAGAATAACTCAATGAAGGATTTCAACAGGAACCTTAAAACTTGGATGGTGGGAAATGAACGAATCATATGTTGCGTAAAGATTCCTGATTCCTTGATGCTTCAACCATTTGAGCTCAGGCTGCCAGCCTTGGTGATCACACCATGTTGCTCATACCTGAGTGGCGGCCGAGTGCAAGTGGCACTTTGGTGCTTTGAAGGTGTGCAAAGGCAGAAATAGGTTTATTAGCTGATTTGTCCTGGCCCGCCACCACGTCTCCTTTCAACTTTTAATCTCGCAAAGCAAAAACACAATGAAAAGCAAAGCTACGTCAATGAAAAGCAAAGCTCTAATAGGACCAAGAAGCTACTAGTAACAAGTGCCACGCTAGTAGTAACAGGTGCCTTACTAGTAGTAACAAGAAGCTAGTAGTAACAAGTGCCACGCTAGTAGTAACAGGTGCCTTACTAGTAGTAACAAGAAGCTAGTAGTAACAAGTGCCACGCTAGTAGCAACAGGTGCCTTACTAGTAGTAACAAGAAGCTAGTAGTAACAAGTGCCACGCTAGTAGTAACAGGTGCCTTACTAGTAGTAACAAGAAGCTAGTAGTAACAAGTGCCACGCTAGTAGTAACAGATGCCTTACTAGTAGTAACAAGAAGCTAAGTAGTAACAATGTTTGCTAGTAGAAACAAGTGCATCGCTTCTAGTAACAAGTAGGGGCTAAGAATCATCTTTGGGAGCGGAGCGCTCGACTCGACAGTCAAAGTGTCGCCAAAACACCGTGTGATGCCCAGTCTGAGGGGTGGAAGATGTAGGGATACTCTCCTGGAACAGGATCAGAACTTTGTGCAAGCTAGAAGTTGGCTACAGCCAGACTATGCCAGACTCAAACCACCTCACCAGCCTCTTTCTGAAAATTCAATGTCTCTTTTTGATGCAGGCATGTTCGTTCACCTTCCCTGGATCACATGGGCGTTAGCTAAAAGCGGTGCCTACTACGACATCCTTCCAAAACATTCCACGCTGACCAAAGAACCTCCTTCAACCAACACACATTGAACATCATTGAACGCTTCTCGATTGCCAAGGATTTTTTCTATCTGAAATCGATTGGGTCCAGTCTTTGTATCTGAAACCTTCGTGCAATTTCGTGCACGTTTTTCGTCTTCTTTTCTTTTGAGGCGAGAACTCGAGACGGCCAGCGAAAGCACAAACACGACCACCCGCTCTGCCGCTTCCCGCCCGCTTCCCGCTCTCTCCTGTCATTCCAGTCCCATGTGTTTGCACATGATACTTGTGGCCTTGAAATTCCTCGGGGATTGGCCAGGCCTCACGACACAAGGCACACGGTGGCTTCTTCACACGCTGTTGGCACCGAGAAGCATTGAAGGTCACGTTTTCGAAGGAAGCGCCAGGTTTGAGAAGCGCCATGTTGTGCTTCACCATCTCCTGAGCACAGTGCCATGGCGATTGCAGCTACGACTCTGTCAGCAAAGCTTGTGCACCAGCTGCGCTCATCAAGCAAAAACCAAGCCAAAAGCCCCTTCCAACAATGTACAGGAAACATTGGTGAGGATTGCGCGTGGAAACAGTTTGATCAATTTCAACATAACATGAGGCCAAAGGAGGTGAATGAAAGCTAGGCAATGGGGCGAGTGAGTCGGAATGGAAAGTAGGCTCGCTTTTTCCACCAAGCTCTACAGAATCTTTGAAATGTCTTTGATCAAGCGTCCAGGGCCAGGTTGTAGTGTTTCTTTTGCGTCTTTTGCTTCTTTGTAGCTTGGAAAGAAGGCAGACCGTATGCTGTGAAGGTCCGAGAGAAATCCACGTAGCCTCAATGCTGGAGCCGACTTAAGCCGAGACCGAACGGCGTGACAACAAAGTGCGTACAAAGACAAGTTAAATTAAGGTTTCCAAAAAATCTAGGAAACAAATCATTGGTGCGAGCGCTTTCTTGAAGAAGCGTGAGCTATCCTGCGTCCAGTTACTAGAAACTTTAGTTGCTAGGAGCAAACTTGGCCCTTACTTAATCAAGCGGGGGCCTAATTATATAATTAAGGAGGCAGGGCCGAGCGGGCTTAATTCAAAGGTTTTTTGCGAATTTCTTCGACTTGACCATCCAACTCGGCCGAAGCGACCGAAAGGCCCTACCACGTCCGTGTCCAACTGCACGGTCTCACCAATGTTGATACGTCGTGAGCCGCTCTGTGAAAAGCAAAAGCTCGGAAGGGATGTGGGATTCCGGCCTTAGGGTTTAACCCTAACAGCTATAGTAACAAGAAGCTACTAGGAACAAGTGCCACGCTAGTAGTAACAGGTGCCTTACTAGTGTTACTACTAGCTTCTTGTTACTACCAGTAAGGCACCTGTTACTACTAGCGTGGCACTTGTTACTACTAGCTTCTATGGAACAAATAATGAAATCTTCGGTTGACATTGGGCCCCGTGAGCGCTCCGAGGACACGCCACGGTCGCATCTCGACCCGAACACCGGTCTTACCGACGGAATAGACGATGTTTCCCATCGGCTGCCTGAGGCCTAACCGTAGTGCACCGTGCTCCTCCCCATCAAGGGAAAAAATATATGAAGAAATAAGGAAACAAGAAAAACATGTGCAAAATACAAATTCTTAGTTAACTGGTGCTGTTGCTAAGCTTCTTCTGTGAGTTCCTTTTAAAAACTATAGACAAAAAACATTGACAGGCCAACGGTTTGATTCTGGCCTAGACGTTGGAGAGCTTTGAAGACGCGGGTCCAAAGTCAAGAACGTGGCAAACAATTTGTGAGGGCGCGTCTTGTCAAGGACGATCTGGGGCTGTTCCTATTGAAACCTTGCGTGTTTATCTCGAACTGTAGCGAATGTCTCAGGTCCGTAGTCTTTCCCACTATCTGCTGGCGCTGAGCCGCTGGCACCCTGAGGCGCAGCCCCCGACAGGGCACAGGAATGCCCCAACTAACGCAGCTTAGCTCAAGGTCAGTGATCCGCCAAACAGCGGCGTCCGCCTGGTCAAGTTTAATCAACTTGTTCAAAAGGCGTCAAGCATAGGTGATAGATTGGGTGCTCGAAGCAAAACTTCTTGGTTTTGCTCTAGGAGGCTGCCCCGAGTGCTTGGCCGCAAATCTGATCTGTGGCTGACGTCCCCAAAATCGGTGATGGATTTCCCCAAACTCGGGGACAGATTTTCTCAAAATCGGTGACAGATTTCCTCCAAATCAGTGACAGATTTCCCCAACATCCGTGGCTGATTGTCCTCAAAAACCAAACCAAATTATTGCCCAAAACCGGAGCCAGTTTTGGTTTGCTCGAATAAGGCCAATCTTTCCCTAAAACGTATTTGCTGTTGTTGCTTCAATTTAGGATAAGCACACACAGTCCAAAAGGATAAGAACACCACAACTTTTCTCCAAATTGTGCTTCGATTTTCCATCTAAAACTATTTTCCCTCTTGTCATTTCACACTGGCAAAAGTCAAAACGACAACGGCGCTTGCGTGCACAAAGCCATCCGTCAAACTAATCAGCACTTCCATGAGTTTTTGCCACTCAATTTTCCGTGTTTATTGCCACGTTTGGGTGAAACTCCGCACTGAACAGCTCTGTGGCTTCTGTACCAGCCGCTCACCGATCGTTTGAGGCAAGTTGCCTCCGCAACTCATCTTTTCCCACTTGAATATGCCACCTTTGTATCTTTATATCATCACCCCCTTTAAGGAATAGGACGTAAAATCGCACAATCACAAAACCAAAGTGCCAAGCTTGCCACAACAAAACAGATTACGCATCTTACAATGGAGAAGGCGCGCATTCACGGAGCAAAAGAAAGTCCCAATTTGATACATGGAATGAAACCGTCCAAACTGTTTCAAGAAGCAGCATTTAGAAAGAAAAGCATTGCCGCCTGCGCACACGTTGCTCACAAACAAGCCAGCCTCTATGGAATGAGGTATCCATAGCAGTCCAACCTGGAATGATTGGTTGACCCTCGCACTTCAACAAGGCGTTTGTAAAAGGTAATAAAACAACAAAAAACTTTTGACGGTGACTGCAAACCGCCAGTTCGCTCAACAAGAAAAACAAGAAACCTGCCTCTATGCCACTTGTGGCACAATGTAGCCGTAAGGACTGTCTTTACAAGTGTCACGAAGAGATGCACTCATCCTCTCTTCTTTGCTGCAGTTGCCATCCTGCAGAGAAGGCATTCAAACTAAAAAAGAGCTGACTAAACACGAAGTGGTAGGTCATTGAAGCTACTGCAACTAGCAAACGAGTTGGTGGCACAAACAACGGCTCCTCCTGTTGGCTAAATATTTCAATCTGATGTGCATGACACTTCACTTTGTTAGGCTTCTCCGCCTTAATCGCCTCACAGCAACCCATACACTTTTGCTTTCAAGAAAACATGGTCTGGCTTTTATAACTGTCTGCTTTGTCTTCTACTCAACATCAACTAAGGCACTATTGGACATGAACGCAAACGATGAACTCACAGCGCGTGTTGCAAAGATGGTCGCTCTGCTTAATCTTCGTCATTGCCTATCTCAAAGCTGTTCCAAAACAAAATGAAAGACATTCAGTTTGAGGTCTGCACCTTCTTCATCTTCGGGGGAAAGCAGAGCTATCACTGAGTACTTGGTTGCACACTTAGCATGTCAGTGAGGCACCATGAGATTGTAGAGCAAGCAAAGAAGATCAAGCCTCAGGATCACAGATGACGTTAAAGAATTTAATTAAGCAAGCAAGGGAAAGAAGTGTAAATGAGTGTAAAAACAAGTTCGTTGGCTTTTTCAAGCCGACAAGCAGGGCCTTGTGAGGTATGAAGATCTGCACACCGACAACATTGAGCAGATGCGAAGCTGCCGTTTGGAGCTTGGAGAAGACGAACAGACGAACACGTGCAGCGCCATTTTCACAACTAGGTGCTCACGCGTTTCTTCCCAAAAGTATGTTTCTCCAATAATTTCTGAACAGCTGACCTCCTTTCTGAACTCATTTCCGTAAAATTCAGAGGACGGCAAGACTGTAGGAGGTTTCACAGTTGGTGTGGCTCAAAGTTCTTAGCCCTCAAGACCCAACTTACAGGGCCATGCAAGAGGCCTACAAAGTGGGGACCTTGCTTCGCGTTGAAGATCCAAATTCTGATTCCGAGAGCAGTCACATTGACGTTGAGGAGAGCCACACGCGAAGCCTAGATCCATTTGATCCTGATGTATACTTGGATGCCTTGTTCGGACCCTTGTACTTCAAACTCGAGCGTATTCAGAAGGATGGAGATTCTGGCCCCAGATTCCCGGACTACATTGGTTTGCATCTTCTTGCTTCTCAACCTTCTCTTGCAGCTGTCCATCGCCTTGAAGATTCGACAAGTGGGGCAGCAAACCTATGGAGATGTTGGAGATCAACTGACGAGTGGCACCTGTTGGAGAGTCTCGAGTCATCCGAATTATTTCGGGGTTCTCTATCCCGAGGAGTTTAGGGAGGAGATCGGGAGATTTGACTTTGATTGCACCCCGCCACTGCTCACCTTGTCCATGTTCCCTGGCACTGTGGACCTCAACCATGATGGCTTTTGGTCCTCCGAAGAAGTAGACAAGAAAGAGGACGAGATGTATCAGGCTGGATCTCGCAGCGCTGGCGACATAACCCCTGCTTTCATCGAGATGGCCGAGTCCGACAAGAAAAATCGACCAGGCTCACGCAGTTCTTATACCGATTCTTTCAGCTATGTTGGACATGGAATTCTTCAAGCACTACAAAGGGCACCTTCAGGTTTGCTTGGCCAATGACAAGAACTTATGCGGGAATTTGGAAGTCTTCAAGCAGCTTCCAGAGATGCTGCCAGGGTTCAAGGAAACAAATGACCGAGAAGAGGAGTGCGAGACCATAATGTCAAAGTTCTGCAACAAGATCTTTGGGGAGCCTTATGAGTTTATCAACGAGAAGACTATGGAACTTTGTGGTGCTGCTTCCTTCTCCCGGGTAGGAGACGTAAACACTGTCGCGTACAGCGCCGTTGGCACATACGTAGGACAAATAGATTCTGTTCTTGGCAAATCATTTGTGTCCTTCCTCATTTTGCTACTCTTTATATGGTTCATCCTCCTAATCACCGAGTTCCGCTACATTTGGAACTTCTTCCAAGTGATTTGGAACCTGCCCTCCAAAGACAACTCCGACCCAGACTTTGCTTCGGCTGACGGCGGCAAGTTCACGGTAACGAAGCTGCCATTGTGCCACAAGGTATTTGCCCTCTTAGCCATCGGTGTGCCAAGGCTAGTGATCGCCTGTGTGGTGGCATATGTGGGCGCAAACTTCCTGGCAATCACCAATACTTTGCAGGACTTGGTGTTGAACTGCACCGCTTTGGGATTCCTCCTCGAGGTTGACCAAATGATTCACACGGGGCTGTTGGGGCAGAGCATTGAAATCATGATGCATCGCTTCGAGCCTATGGAAGTGCCATCCCCAACCCGTGGGGTCATGCTGACCTACAGCTCCCTCGTGATGTCCTTCCTAATTACGGGTGCTTTCGTTGCTTATACTTACTTGCGGCCGGAAGGATTGCGCGACGTTGGCATGGGCATTGAGTGCCTGTGTCACTTGGAAGGTAGTTGCTATGTCCAGCAGTTGCTGCCGCGTGTGCATGGACAATGAGCATGCCGTGCTCTAATGCGGTGTGTAGCCAACACGTGCAGTTTGCTTAATATTGGGTGATTCTTGAACTGACGGAACAGTTCGGCGGCCTTGAACGTCGCGATCGATCATTGAGGACAAAAGCCCGTTGAACTTGCGTGATTGTCAAGTAGCCCACATTGATTGGACTGCCTGTTTGATAGTTTTTGAGCATTCTTGCTGACACGCACCTAAACTAGAACAGATGACCAACCTGACTTGATTGAGGTTTGATGCTCAGCTGCTGGAGAAGGTGTGCCGCGGGCTATTCTGGGCACGCCTTACTTCTTGATAGATGAAAGATGAACGTATTAAAAGCATTTGGAAAAACTTGCAAGTATATATATATATACAAAAATTGCTTCAAATCCCTCCATGTTGTGGGGCTGTTGCACTTTTGAGTATGCAACCGGCTTCTCATCAAATGAACATGTACACAAGTCAGTGAGGCAGCACTTTCGCTTTAAGTGAGCCAATGTGACGCAGTTCTAGGGTTCTAGAGCCTGGAGCGGCAAAGATGACGAAAACATTGCTGCCAATACCGCCAATGAGCTACATGCGATGTTGGCACTCCAAGACGAGAACGACATGTTGAGTGTTGCACGTCTAGAGCTACAGGATATTGGAGATTGAGCAACAGATGCAGCTCATGGATGAAGTACCTGAGGCAAGTGCTAGGCTGCTAGTCACAGCCAGGAACTTCCCCAGACATATTTGAGATCATTCACCTTGGGGTTAAAGGTATAGGTTAACATAGAAACACAATGAAATTTAAGAGATGCAGAGGAAAGCTTTTGAAATGAATGTTTTTATACATAAGGCTCTCAATATAGAAGTGATCACCACCAGAGGTCAAGCCAATGAAAGCTGTATATATGAAGGATCCTTTATTGGCAATTCTACTTTCCCAGACATCTCTGTTCAGAGATCATTGACCTTGGTGTCAATTGTATAGGTTAAATCTGCATGACTTTGCAACATGACAACTCTGCTTTCCGAGAGATCCAGAGGAACGCTATTGAAATGAAAACTTATATATTGTGAAAGTCAGAATCCTGCTCCAGTGTCGGACGATCAGGTTTGAGAGTTCCCGCCGATGCATCTCGGCTTAATAGGCCTGACGCCATTTTACGGCTGCGCCTGAGGAAAACTAAGTGCGCGAGGGATCCTTTTGCTTTGGATTCCACAGTGGCACCGGAGCCTCAAGATCCACGGGATTTGGCCGCACTCCGCCCGCTGCTTTGCATAGCTTGCTCCTTGGCCTTTCCGAACCTCCTTGGACCTTTTGCTGGACCTTTCAGGCTAAGCCTCTTGGGCCCTACTTCACGTCTTCCTCTTGGCCGCCGTGCTGATTGTTGACGTGACCTTCCCTTTGAGAATAACTAGATTCTCCTCGTTGACCTGACCTTTTGTTTGGCTTCCGCCGCTTCACCTAGGCCGCCGTGCAAGTGGAGGTCGGAACCTTATTTTGGCCGCGAGATGGCTTCGGCCAAAGAGTCAGGTACCTCTTCATGGTACAGGGTACCTACGTGGTCCGGCAATCCCTCTGAATGGAGGCAGTTCAAGAGCAAGATGAGTTGGTGGATGGCGTCATTAGACGCCGAGCAATGCAAGAAGTTCAATGTGGCCGCAAGATGGGCATTACGCCAGTACGGCGTGGTACGAGCTCGGTGCGAAGAGTTCGACCCCTCCGAACTGGAGGGCGCCGTTGAAGATGCATGACGGACCCGGAAACCGGAGAGAAAGTGATCCGTGTTGAAGGTGACCCTTTTAGCGGCTTGAAGAAGCTCAAGGCTGCGCTCGAAGCCACGGTTGGAAAGACAGCCCTAGACCGAAAGGGCGAGTTGAGATCCCTGTACTATCAGGAGATCAAGAGAGCTGCCGGTCAACGCAATTCAGCTTTCTGTACACGTTTTCGTACAGTGGCAGCTGAGTTGAAGCGGGAGGGCATTGTCATGCCCGATGAGGAGCTTGGCTGGATGTTGAAGGAGCGACTGGGTTTAGACCCGATCCGCAAGCAGTTGTTGGAGACAGCCCTCGCTGGCAGGGAAACATACGATGTTGTTGAAAGTGAATGCCTTCGGTTGTTCCGTGACCTGCACACGGCAGATCCCCTCTACAAGAACAAGACCTTTGAGAAGGTCCCGCTCTTGCAACGTTTCCTGCAGTCGCATGACAGAGGCAGTTCTGGATCTTCATACAGACCTTCAACTTCGGCCAGTTCCACAGCTCCTTCATCTCGCTCGTTCCGCACTCAGAGCTCGGTGAACAGTCGACCTCCTTTCAGGAAGTTTGGACAACAACCACCTCCTCGACAAGCTTTGTTGACAGAGATGCCCGAAGATGATGGTGGACAAGTTGAGCCAGAGGATGAAGAGCTGATCCCAGATGATGGTCAGCCCAATGAGCCCACCATCGAAGAAGTCCTTCAGACAGAGGCAGAGCTTCTGGCCGCAGAGCTTGAGGAGTTGGAGACTGAAGGATGTGACCCACACGTCCTTGAGGAGTTGGAGCAAGGCATGGAGCAGGCAGCAGAAAGCTTGCTCACTATGAGAGAAGCTCGCACGAGGATAGCAGAAGTCAAGAAAGACAGAGGCTATGGCAAAGCTTCTGGAGGACCTCCTCGTGCTGGCGGCGGCAAGGCACATGGCAACCAAGTGCCAAAGCAGAAGCAGAGCGCAAAGTGTTTTGACTGTGGCGAAACAGGCCACTGGGCAGGCGACGCTGGCTGCAAGTCCCCTGGCGCCGGTCTGGCGCGACCAAAGGGACGATCTCCAAAGGTCAGACAACGACCAAACAGGTTCGGGCGACAGAGACTTTGAATACAGAGCACCTTGCCGATGAAGATGATGCAACAGCACATGAAGTGTTGACAGTTGCAGTCGGTGATTTGTTTGCCTCCCCGCTTTCAGAAATGTTGGCACAGCAGCACTTGCAAAAGCTGGACATCCCTCGTTTGGCTCAGGACAAAAGATTCGTTGGAGCTTTAGACAGTGCTTGCAACCGCACCTGCGCTGGTTCTTCTTGGTTGGTATTTTACCTTCAAGCCCTTCAAGCAGCTCCCAAACCCATCCAAGACCTCGTGACCACGGTCGAGGAAGATGAACTTTTTCGTTTTGGGAATGGTGGCACGCAGACGAGCAATGTGAGGTATAGGTTGCCAATGGCTTTGGGCTCCACCTTGGTCGTGATTTTCTTTCAGGGATTGGAGCAGTTCTTTCAGCCCGAAGAAACTTCGAGCCGACCTCGTGAACGGCGAAACGTTGGACCTCGGCCAACTGGCTGCAGGCCACTTCTCACTGCCGCTGCAGCCTTCGGTGTGGCCACGTCCGGGATCCCAACGATGGCGTCGCTTGGGGCAAGATGGCATCGTTGAGCTTCAGTTGACAAGTCTTGAACATTGGAAACGGCAACTTCAGCTGAAGATGAGTCATTTAGATGTTTTTCCTAGTTTACGTGCACCGCATGAGCACCTTGTCACTGAACATGGTTTGAAAGCTGCTACTTCTGCCGGGGCTCAAGCGATGAAGGTGGCTCAAGCTACGACATCTCCCCCGACTACATCCTCTTCGACGTCCCCTGATCGTGCAGGATCTTTGGATCACCATGGAGCAGCAGCTGCCAGAGCACCACGACCTGACGAAGTTCGAGTACACGAAGGTGGTGCTGCGATGGCGAAGACTCATTCTTCGCTTCCGCGAAAAGGCCGCTTGGCACGGACATGGGTTGCTCTTATGGCTGTTGCCTCGGCCGCATCTGCGGTACGCTCCTTTTCCGTACCCAAGCATCAGCCACACCAAGCACTGGCAGGACCAAGCCGAGGCGATGTATTTGCAGAAGCCCAAGGCCCTGATGCATCACCATTGGTGCCGAGCTCGAGTTCAAGATGCGCCAGTGTATACGACCAAGAACGTGTTGGAACTTGGTCAATTCCGCAATCGAGTTGGGCTGGACTTCGCCTTCATGGAGGACAACCTGCTTCAGGGCATGTTGGCGGCTCGCTCTGGGAAGGGCATCAAGGCTCAGCTCAAGAGAGAAGCAATTCAAGAGGCTCAGATCGAAGCGGAAGAAGCCGCAAAACGTGGAGAGAAGCAGTTGGCAGTGAGGGAACTCATTGGACCCAAGGGCGGACTCCCGACTCTCAAGGGAGATCTCGTCAAGTTGGCCGCTCTCCTGAACATCCCGGTCGACACCAAGATGACCATCGACGACCTGAAGAAAGCCTGCCGACCGATCGTTCAGGACATTTTGAACAAGCCAGGTTCAAAGGCCAGCAGTTCAACGGGTTCAACAAGCTCCACGGACAAGCGCCTTCCTTCAAAGGCGGCCGCGCCAAAGTCGATCATGCCTCGCGATGCCAAAAGCTGGTGGAGTGAGCGCCCAAGATCTTCAAGAAGTGTTGACCATGCAAGATCACACCGATTCCAACAGATGCTGAACCAAGTACTTCACAGCATCTCGACCTTGCACAATGCCAGAGCAGGTCCAGATCCGACCTACAACTGGTCGATGAGCGTGGATGCCAACATGGACGAGACCGAGCACGGCTGGACAGCAGCCGAAATTCGCCAGATGAAGCGGGACTACTACGAGGAAGACGCTTCCTGGCGCCGGGACAACGGCATTCCTCCTCGAGACTTGTGACCGAGGACCCTCAGTTGGCGAACAATCCATGGCGCATCCACCAGAATGTGAAGCCTGGCCAAGCTCAGTTGATTGCAGACGCTTGGAAGAAGCATGAACGTGATCGCCGCCTGGTGTCTCTCAGTGCCAAGGAGGTGAATGAGATCTATGAAGGTCAATGGATGCAAGAAATGACCAACTTCCAGAACGAGACCTTCATCCTCCCCATGTTGCTTGGCTCTGACAACGACTTCACCAATGACACCTTTGTAAATGAGCAGCTTGAAAAGAATGCCCGCAAGTCAGTGTGTGTCAAGGTCAAACCCAAGCACCTCGTCACTGAAGTCTACACCACGACG